TGAGAATGTGGGGAGCCTAGCCCCCTGCTTGGGGCGATGCGACCCTCCTGAGGAGGCTGCGCCTTCCCCCGCATTGGCGCCGCGACGCTCGTCACGCCGGCGCTCGAAAGAACCTCAAAAATCACGAACGCGCCCCCTACCTGGCGCGCCAGATGTCAAAGAATAAACTCCTCCATCAGGGGACTGTGAGGCCCCCCATTGTGAGTTCGGTCGGGGGCAGCGGGTGAGATTCGAGGGTTTGGGGAGCGAAGCTGTGTGACCTTCAAGGGGTTCCATCCCCAAAGACGATGAGACAAAAGGGGTTTATACAGGTTCGGACCACTGATAAGCGTAATACCCTACTCCTGTGCTTGATTGATTGAGTGTAGAACACTAGTGCTTGGGGTTGCGAAACTCAAGCGCCAGTTCGCTTGGGAGTCCCCCCCACCTTTTTTTCCACTACTAGGCCTGGACCTCCTTTTATACCTCAAGGGGTTACCACATGGGCCCAACAACCTAACCTAGCTCCGGTGGAGAAGGATTACAATCTTTGCATTAAATGCATGTCTTATCTCTTGACTTGGGAAGCAAGCGCACGTCATCTTGATGATGAGGCCTGTCAAATCTTGCCGCCTGACACGGGGGGTGCACATGTCAGTCACCATTTAATGGGTGAGGACTTCTGGGCTCCTATTACACCGGGAAACGGGAGCCTTGCTTTGACCAGAGCGGGAGGACCGACTCCGGCTGGGATAAGAGGATGAGAACCTCTCACCATCATTATTTGATGGGGCATGTCAGGCTGCACGTCGCCTGACACATGAGCAGCGCACAGGCGCACTACCCCAGTCCCATCGGTCATTCGACCAGTCACAGACCGGTTGAATGCATTGCACGCCACATTAAATGCGGCGTGGCGTGACTACTCGGGCCGCCATAAATGCGGGTAGGTAGGCACCTGGAGGCGGACACTTAACCCACCGTACATGGTGACCTAGAGAGGGGGTCGGGGGAGCCCCTAGTCACGGGAGGGGGCGGCCGCCGCCCGACCTCGGGCCCGATCCCCCCTCGGGGGAGGGCCACGTGGCGCCTGGGGCAGCCTTCTCCCTCTAGTCTCGGCCAGGGAGTGGCCGCCGCCCCACCTCGGGCCTGACTCCCCTCGGGGGAGGGCCACGTGGCATCGGGGGGCAGCCTCCTCCATCCAGTCTCTGGGAAAAAGTGGCCGCCACCCTACCTTGGGCCTGACTCCCCTCTCGGGGGAGGGCCACGTGGCATCGGGGGGCAGCCTCCTCCATCCAGTCTCTGGGAAGGAGTGGCCGCCACCCTACCTTGGACCTAACTCTCCTCGGGAGAGGGCCACGTGGCATCGGGGGGCATCCTCCTCCATCGAGTCTCGGCCAGGGAGTGGCCGCCGCCCTACCTCGGGCCTGACTCCCCTCGGGGGAGGGCCACGTGGGCCTGGGGGCAGCCTCCGTACCCTAAGCTGGGAGGGGACGGTCGCCGCTCCACCCGGGCGTCACCCTCCTCAGGGGATGCCACATGGGTTTGGGGGCGACCTCCTCGCTCTAAACATGATACCCCCGGGTCCATATCACCGACACTGATGATGTTAATGAGAAATGATAATTATGTTGCTACAATTATTTATACTGACAATTGTGCTTTACTTTACATATTTATTTTTTAAATGCTTTACAAATTTACCGTTTGTGAAATATTGTAAAACAACCTAGCTTTATGCATATGAACCTACAAATAGCTTCTTGTTTGATATTTAGAGCTTGCATGTATGTAGGATTGTATTGCCATGCCAATCTGATACTTGTATCTTTTTTGGATCATTGGTTAATTTGTTTTGCATGTTTAGTTGAGTGTTGTAGGATCCATTGATCTCTTCAAGATGGTTCATTAGGGGTCTATCCCTAGTCGGATTGCTTATGGGTATTGGGTAGATAAATTTCCGTGCGAACCTATCATAAGGCTGGTCAGCCAAATGGATTCTAAATTTAGACTATAAATTATTCGTGTGTTAGTATTCCTTCTTTATGGATACCATTTATTTTGATGAAAGCGTTTTGGTATATTCTAGATAGAACTATCTAGACATGAGTATGTGATGAACAAACTAGATGTATAGCTTAACAAACTAAGTCAAATCTTCTGGGATGTGTAACACATCTGGTCGCCTCTTTCGTGTGGTTTGACGGGCACATCTCATGCTAAAGTTAATTAACATGCTAAGTCCCAGCAATATCTATTTTTGCTCAATATTTGGCACTACTTAAATTATATTTAATGGTGTTTACTTGGGATCATGAGGCATATTGAGGCTTGAGTGGCTATTATGCGTGTATAGATCCCACTCAGCTAAAACCATGTGATGGTCACAAGTGACACCCGGCAGTATAATTTTTGGTGTGCCTTACACTAGGCCAAACCTGACGGCAAAAAATACCATACAAAAACAGAAAAGAGTGTGGGACAAACGTGAAAACCCCACTGACCGCACACGTAAGAGGATCGTGACAGCTTGCGCATTAGTATTCTCGCTTCACCCATACACGTTTTTTTTGCTTCAACGGAGATTTATGACTAGAAGAATACTTAAATTGACTAAAAAATATTCCATGATACATTTTTGCTTACATTGATGAAAATAAACTAGGACAATTCCATCTCGATACATCTGATCTTCGTTATCCATCTTGGATGATGTACAAAGCCAAATTCTTGCCAAAGAGATTTTACGCTTCTTTGGATGGGCTTGGAGCATTTCTAAATAGTCTGGGCCCTTTTCTCGGCCCACCTAATGGCAACAGGGCCCATCTTCTCCAGCTTAAAGTTTTATGCTGCCGCCACGTGTTTTGCTTCGATGGGGAGAATTGGATAGCCATTGGCTGCTGCGAAAAAATAAAAACGACATAGTCAAACAATGTAAAATAATTGAGTGAGATTAACTTTGCAGTTTGCTTCATAGAAAAACATTAACTTGGAATTGACATTTTTTTAGCAAATAAAAATGTGTACTACATACATTGGTAGTATTTAAAGCGATCAGCATATTGTTTCTTTTAACAAGAATAAACCACGGCAAAAAAAAAAGGGTTTTCCGTTTAATTTCTCACAAAATATTGGTCCCAACCATGACGATGTAAAAAATAATAATTACTAAATTTTCTCAAAAATGTACGGTAGAATTTTGCTGTCAGCTGTGCGTTCTAAGAGCAAGTACAATAGCAGATTACAAGTCAGCTGTAAACACATGTGGAGGAGGAAAGAGAAGAGAGAGAAGGAATGAATTTGTAGCCAGCTGTAACACGAACTCCAATATGTTACGTGTGTATAAGAGGTGGAACTATATATTAATGGTTTATAGATAACTATTGTATGAATGAGCTATTAGGTTGGCTATAGGCCGTGTTTAGTTTCAAAGTTTTTCTTCAAACTTCTAATTTTTTCATCACATCAAAACTTTCCTACACACACAAACTTCCAACTTTTCCGTCACATCGTTCCAATTTCAACCAAACTTCCAATTTTAGCATGAACTAAACACAGCCATAGATGATTTGGAGTCAGTAGTTGGCTATACTATTATTAACTTGCTCTAAGAGCCAGTCTAGTAGGTCGTCGGCTGCTTACTCCAAAATGCCACGTTAATGTATGTATAATGCTTCTTCCAAGTTGATAATATTTGTTACATGGATAAGAACTCGGTCTTAAAAAAAAATAACTTTGACAACTTCTATTATAATTTATATAGAAATATCAACAAATAAAATTTAATTTTATTGAAATATTTTTTAAGACTAATTTATACATATGGCTTCATATTTCTAAGATAAATATTTTAAAAATTATTTATAGTCGAAGATTTTAAAGTCTAACTTCCTTTTATTTCAAACAACTAATATTATCGGTGGAAGGACTAACTATTACATGACCTCTGCACTCTATTTAAACTACTATTTTTTCTTCTCATCTCACCCTATCTCTTGGTAGTGCATGACACTGCTGGATTGATCAGGCTGCCTTGGAGCACGCGTATATCTAGCGCTTGTTTAACTGCTCTCTCATCATCTCACTATGAAAAATTAGCATAACAGGCAATAGCTTGTACCTGCTCTAAGCAGGTTTTTCTAATGGCTTCTCGCTCTACGTGAGCACATTTCCTAAATTGTTCGTATAAAAATTTTCTATAAGATTTTTCTAAAAAATCAAATAAATTCATTTTTTAAGTCGATAATAATTAGTACTTTGATAATGGCCTATCTCATTTTTGTGCCAGAGAAAATCCCAGCCCAAACACTGAAATGCCTAAGTGTTTTGAATGATAAATTTACAAGATATTTTGGTGCACCTTTGTTCTAAAAACACATGATGCGAAAGGAGGGACAGTATATTAATAGTGTATCCGCTTGATATATCCATTCCGTTGATGCCGGATTGTATGAAGCCAATATTTTGACGCAAGGAAATTTTGAAGACAAAATTTGACAATATATCTATCATAACGCATTGTTAAGTAAACCGGCCACGCCAGAAAGGGCGACAAAATACCATGGAGTGACATGGACACATGAGCCGCGTAACATATGAAAGGTTTATTTTCTCTCAAAAAAACGAAAGAGAAACAATGAAAGGCTTATTTTAAAACATTAGCAATATTAGAAGAAAAAAATAACACTGTCCGCGTGACATTGCGATGTTAGCTGCAGTGGGATGTTCCTGGGCGTGACAGTTTAGCAAGGCTGTTTTTCAATTAGGTGGCTAATATTTTTGTCTAAGATGGTTGCAGAATACAAAATATTTTTTAAGAACAAGTGGTAACATATAGAGTGAAAGTGCCAGCCAAAATATTCCAAAGATCACAAATCATTTTGTTGATTAAAAAACGCAGCGAATTATATAAAAGGAACTGAAAAGGAGAACAACTGGGTTAAAAACAATCAAACTACAGTTAACAATAGGGGTAAATAACCTGAAACTGATGCTGAAAATAACCCAAAATAACAACAATGTAAATACCGAACTACAAAACATACTCATGACAAATCCGTGATAGATATTGTAAGTATACTTACACTTACATAATCACAAACATTGTTTTAAGACTAGTATCAAAGGCCTATTGTATCTACATCTTTACATTAATCCGTAAACAAATATGTACAAAATTTAGTTTTACGAAAAATGCATTTGTTTCATATGAATGGATAGTTGGGACTATACCCTGAAGCGAATGTAATCAGGGCCATAAAAAAGGTGAAATACAATAGGTATATCACACACTATCTTCTTCAGGCTTGTCTGAAGGCCTGATAAGAGGAGCTACCCTTTCAGAAATGATAGCCTTACCATTCTCATCTCGTTTGACAGGGTACAGCACATAGTGTTGGATTATGAATAAGATGTCGAAGAAAACGACTTCCTACAATATCAAAGACATGTCATTTTAGTTACTCGAGTTTAGCAAACATTAAGAGTTGTTCTTATTATTATTATTTAACATTGAGAAGGGCTTGTAGTTAGAAATCCTTAAGTGGTAAAGATAGTATTATTAGAGTAAAACAAGTCCTGCTCACCAATGAAAGAAGGGTTTTCCCAATATTTCCATAGAAGTTCACTAGCGTGTCTGCAACACAATATGTTCAGTCAGTAAAAATATCTGACATACTTAATATATATCATACACTATGATCAAAGGACCAATGCAGCTTACGTTGATCTATTGATTGCACACCCATCTGGCCAAAGTTTAGCACCCCTCCTGTAAGATCAAGTAAAATATTGCCAATACTCCAACCAATTGTACTCTTCCTCCTGAAGTTCATGATGGCCTAAGATAAACAGGAAACAGAATCGTTAGCAACAAATAACGGCACACTTTTCATTTTAGCGGCTACATGCAGTAGGATCAAATTAGGTTATACAACAGTAAGCAAGCATAGGCATTTTTTTTTATTTCATTCAAACTAGAGTAAAATCCTACACAGCAAAGCCATTAGAAATTGTCTGGTAAGACAACAGAGATCAGCATAACTTGAAGTGTATATTGTGCCAACATAAGCTTGTGCTCAACTTCTATTATCAGGTCTAGACACATATACTCACCCTGCCTTTAATTGACCACATAGCTGGTGTCTATTAGTTTGTGCTTGTTTAAAATTTTCATTCTGTGGTTCTGGACTAATTGTGTGAGTTTGCTTTTATGTGAATTATGTAATAATTGGCTGTAGCTCGTTTGAGCAAAGGCCGGGATATTTTATTCCATTATCTAAAAAAAAATTGACCACATATTATACTCTAAATCAAGGATTTTGCTAGTTCCCTATTCATTTTTCACCATTAGGATAACCATGTAACTGACTAAATATAGTAACAAGAACATATGACTACCTGAGGAATGTATTTGATTGCTGTCATCCCAACCTGTATTGAACTAAAGTACACATTAAGAGAAAGAAATCAGTTCCACTAGAGCAAAATGGAGCAATATATGTCAATAACAAACAATTAGCATAACTGAACTTGATTAGAGAGATATTTTGTAGAACAGTGAAGAAAGAACTTACTTGAACACATCTATAAGCCAGAGCCAGTTACTTTTTGGCCAAGCTACAATAAGGCAAACAATAGCAGCTGTCCACACAATAGCAGTGATTGATATGCAGACTTTGGAGATTTTCTGGTTTCCTCGCTGTATATTGTACTGAAGTATCAGATACTGACAGAGTGAAAATAAGTAACTGTGGTTCATACAGCTGTTTAACTAACCTCGTAGATGAATACTTGAAAAAGGGTAAAAGCTGTCAAGGCAACCGCGTGTACAGAAAAGGCAACATCATTTGCCGCGACAGGAATCATCTGCATCAAATGATACAAAATAATATGTTTGATTTAGGCTTAGCAAATACAGTTTAAAGCTAATAAACATGAAGAAGAATGACACCAAGGTGGTCTCATTACAATTACACAACAAAAACAAAGGATATCGATTCATTGGGGTACAGCTTTCTTTTCTCTCAAATACTGGAGCAACTACAAGAATCAAAATTATATGTACATTACAACAACCCTTGGCACTCGAGAGAAGATAATTGATAACAAGTCAGCACAGTTCCAGATTTCAAGCATTGATCCAAAAGAGGCATAGGCAATCACCAAATTTCTTTTGACAGGAACAGTAGTAAGACTTTACTAAACAAGATAGAAATATTTAAATAGTTGTAGAATACAGACTCTATGTTGTTTTTTTTATATGTACAAGACAACTACCGAGCTGATGTACATCACTCTTTAGATCTTGTTTAGGTGGCCCAAAATTCTGGCCCATCCACGTGAACAGGCTGGGAGTTACACTAAAATCATGGTTTATGATTAGAGTTTTTGTCCACCAAAACAAGAATAAAGGGCTTAATAATCTTATAATAGACCAAATCTGCCGACATAAAGCCACAAACCCCAGCTCGGATGGTGTTTAAACATCACAAAATGACTTTTCACATCAAAGGCATCCATGTGAACAGGCTGGGAATTTACACTAAAATCAAGGTTATTATTAGCATTTTTGTCCATCAAACAAGAATCAAGGGCTTAATATTCTTACAATAGACCAAATCTATCATCACAAACCTCCTCACTGATGGTGTTTAAACAGCAAAAAATTAATTTTCACATCAAAGGCATCCTCATAATGCCAACAGGATTTGGAAGAGTTCAGTGCCTCAGTGGTATACCAAACAGTAAGGTACCAGTACATCAGCTAAAATATTAGTCCTCATGGATATCAACCAAATTTACATGCAATACTAGTGACAGGCATGGTGCTTGCACAATCCTAATATTAGCTTAAAATAAAAAAACAAATGCAATCATGAAATGAGCCATCATTAGAATCCCACAAAATAATGCAAAGACGTGTGGATTGATAATGAGAAGAACATATTGGTCAATCATACAAATTGTAAATGGTTTTAAATGCCAGATAATACAAAACAAATTCTGCCCTGTCCAGCTACTTTGCCAGTTTTTTTTTTTAACTAGGATGCCAGTTTGTTATGATGCAGAAGGAAAAAAATAAGAAGCGCGCTGAAGTTTCAAAACCTAATGTTGAAAAATTATTTACCTCAGCAAAGGTTTTCATTCAATAATATGACGAAAATAATGTACCAAAATGATCACAAACAATCTCCCTACTTTGCAATGAAATACACACATGCAAACGCCATTCCAGCATATTAGCCACATATAACACCGATTTTTTGTAAAGAAGGAATTCCATTACTCAGGGAAGGTAGTACGTTCGCTTTGATGCACATGAAAGATGGGGCTTCATGTTCTAACCAGACTCTTGATAGACCCTGATGTCAGGCTAGCTACACGATTCTAATAGTCCTTCCAATGGATAGTACCAACACCATGCCCATGCTGTGGCATCCAAATTACTAATTTGTTAATATATTATCTATGTGTAAATGCAAGCATTAATCTCTCATTTACTGTTATGATGGAATGTGTTCTATGTACTCAGCTGCACCAGTCCTATTTTGCTCCTGATGTTCTGGAACAAAACAACTAGAATAGAGACCACTCGTTACAGTACACTCATTGTCAACATGGAGATAGTATGGAAGTTGGGAATCAGGACAGCAGGTATCTGACTAGATACAACTAGCTTTGCTCATATTGTCCATCATTTACACTACGAACATTTTAATTTACATAGTACCATTTCATATCCAGACAAGATAAAAATATTTTAAAGGTCGATATGGCTAACCTCTTTATCACCATATGTCTCATGATACTGTCTCTGGATGAAGGGGCTGAAGAATAGAGCAGCATTGTATATGAGGTAGGATGAGTGCTTTGTCAAGTTCAACACCAGAAAATCAAAGTTCAGACCCACCACACTGCAATCAATTAATCCAGTTAAACCACGTGACAAGAAACATGAATATAAAAAATAAATATCTTAATCTAACAGACTGAACCGTCTGTCCCCAAACCACCAGACATCCAGAGCACCGTACAGTGTAAAACAGATTGACACAGGTGGCAATTTCCAACTCAATTAAGGAAATAGATTGTTATGAAGGTTATATTACTGTTTTAACTCTGATTAGTTCAAACTCTGAAGGTTTATTCATGAATGCACTCCTGATCATGAAGACATGCCATTTTGGACATCGCCACTATCTTAAACATATGACTTTGGCCACTAACTTCTCTTGCTAAATATTTAGTAAACTCGATAAAATTATAATATTATAAAAGGTACTTTTCGAGGCAAGTCTGTGTACATAATTTTCATTCATCCAATCTAAATAGTTAAAAGAACTTGATACATAAAGTTTGCAAAGTTTGACTTGAAGCATGTACAAAACGACATGATTCCATGACGTAGTAGGCAGCATATGGAAGGAGTTAAATACTTTGGATATTTTAGTTGCTTTCCAGAACAGAAGGAGTGTACGGATATGCCGACAAAGAACTTAAAGAAAACACCCCATTGGCCAATGAACAAGTGCAAAATAATTCGCCCACATGTGAAGATCACATTTGATTGCGAAAAACTCAGTGACAACAAGAATGTTCCCTAAAGAACTAATTATGCCCAAGTGAAAACCTTGTGATGGTAAGAAAGCATGAGCTTATAAGGTTAGTTTTTGCCCATTTATCATAACTACAGGCTATTCCAAGCGCAGGAAATGGATCTACTAGATTTGTAAGAACAAACTCTGGTGTTAATCTTAGTTACACTGCAGATGGTGCTTCTTAATAATCCACACACCACGGTCATGGTGGACGGTAGAACAGAAGCGGAATTTATTAAATGAGCAGATGGAGTTGTAAGAGCCACATGTCCTGCACTCCTTACTGCCAGAGTTTGCGAAAACATTCAATCTACTCTTAACTTTTGCTTTGTTCTCCTCCTAAATTTTGCATTCTCCATCAAATTATGGCGGCATCCGACAACAATTGACAATTTCCACTGGTTGAGCAATCAGCTCAGTAAGGACGACTCCATAATCTTTACCCAAAATTGAGGTCAGCTCCACCCATACATCCAAAGATTCGTCGCCCGTTGCAGCTTGCAAAGGCTATGGATGAACAAATCTCATGAATCAGATTAACCTAAGCACGCAATTAAAGAGGGTAATCTCCCTCAAATAATACATACACCAACAAATAAACACAGAATTCAAACACAGCAATAATATAAGCCAAGAAATGGCTAGCCACGAGCAAATCAGAGGATGAGGGGGGAAAAGGGAGATAGAAAAATCCGTCACCTCTTGCGCTTGAAGTTGAGGAAGACCTGCGGGTAGAAGCTGAAGGACCAAGCGAAGAAGGCGACCCACCCGAGCACCTGGTACAGCACCTCCATCCCCACCGAGTTCCACGACGACATCGCCGCGGTTCTCCCTCTCCCCCTCCCTCCCTCCCTTCACCCTAGCTGCTGTTGCTTTGGGATTCCGGATTCTCCCTCCCACCACTTGCTGCTCCGCTCCAATTCTTTATTGTTGCCCGCGGAATTTATAGCGCGAGGAAAGCGAAGCCATCGCCCAATCGCATTTCTCACCTGGTTGGGTGGAGAAGAAGGGGATTGGTCGGAAACCGCCACAGAGGTTGCGGCTTATTCACGGTTCTGCCATGCCCCGGCTTTGCTCCTCGGGTTGGGGCTTGGGAGGGACGAACCGGGTCGGGATCCCGGCGACGTTCGTGCCAGTGCAGCAGAGGATGGATGGTCGTGGTGGCTGGCGTAGGTTGAGGGGTGTAATAACTAGTAACGGAACGGGATTCCGTCCTGGCGTGCGGATGGCCCTGAGATACGCTGACGTGGCGATGTGTTGCACCGTAGGGGGACTAGCTTGCATCACTCCACAGTTTTTTTTTTCTTTTGGTTAAAACTCACATGTTTTTTCAAGGATTGGACTAGCTATTGTTCACTTCATTTTTAAACCATGATTAACATGTAGTAATACTAACTTATACTCCCTCCGTCCCAAAATGTAGTAGTTCAAACATATATTCAGATTCGTAGTACTAGAATATATCTCATCCAACCAAAAGTTACTATATTTTGGGACGGAGGGAGTATTAAATGATTAAAACATGCGAATAATACGACACTCATAAAAGTTAAATAAAAACAAAAAGTATCTCAAGTAAAAACACTCCTAATGAAATTAGTCAAATTTTTTAATCATATTTTTAACACTTGAGAGCTTCAAGTATATATAAGTACTCCCTCCGTCCCAAAAAAAAACTCAACCTACATCCTCTCCTAGGACAATGAATCTCGACTACCATTTGTTCAGATTCGTTGTTTTAGACTTCTAGGAGGGGTCACATCTCATCCTAGGTTAAGTTTTTTTTTACGGAGAGAGTACTTATATTACACTATGTATTTAATATATTATTATATTATATCTACTACAAGTTACATTGTAATTATAGTATAATTGCATTATAACTATAGTGTAATTATGTTGTAACTTATAATACAGCTTTTTCTAGATCAAAACTCGATATATCCCTACGAATAATATCTAACCAAAAAAATATGAATGGCACATCTATAGCAAAATTAGATCCAGACTGACCCATCCATTCAGCACGAATCTTATAGCAACTTATCCAACGGCTGAGAAAACAAAAGAGCCATAACAAAAAATCACTCGACAGACGGATAGCGAAATTGATAAATAATCATTTTCTGACTACAAATCTAGCATTTTTTTTATTTACATATGGAATCAAGTATTGCATCATCAAGAATGGACATGGCATGCTATAGATTCCACCTTGTTTGGTATCTATTCATTGTGTTAGATCAGCCGAGGCATGGCCGCATGGCGCACCAAAAGTTCTCTATGATGGTAGTGGTATTTATTAATTTTAAGGTTGTGTAGGAATCAGCGAGAGTGGGCATGACACATCAAAAGTTCATGTGTTTTATCTGGCCCACTATAAGGTTGAGTGTGATAGCTTCTAGCTTGGCAAGTAGATTGACCAATTGAGATATTCCAAGAAATTAATGTTATGCTTGGATATCGTCGGGTGTAGCCATCCGTCTCATATGTTGTCGGTACGAATATAAAATACTTCCCCCCCACCCCCATATTAGCCTTTCTATTTTTTATCTATATATTCATTAACATACATATATAAATTTAGACGCATATATAAAACATATATATGGTTTCATGTATAATTTTATTGAAAACTCAAAGCTTCTTATAATCTGAACAAGAAAAGGTAGTATGACTTTTTTTTATGCGGAAATCCTTCCATCCTGCTTTTCAGATTCTCAGGGAATCCATGGTTTTCTCTTGTAACCATAGTTTGTAAAAAAACTTTGTTTTCTACTTCTCCTATTATGAAATTGGCAGAGCTCCTACCCTTTACTCCTAAAAAACTTTGTTTTCAGATTCTCAGCTAATTTTGTTTTCTTCATTCTACGCGGCACGGTGTACTTAAAACGTGGAAATCATGCCTTGTCTATGATGTAACCCTAATTCCTCTGTCATATGGCTGTAAACGGAGTACTACTACATTGAACAAAATTTTCAAAACTGTTGTACCAACTTAATGGTGTCGATTACAACAAGCTAGCTTACATTGTTAAAATACATATATGTGTATATGTGTGATCGATCTTAAGTTTTGAATCTCCCGTCTCTAACTGTAGTTTAAACCACGAATTTGTCTCATAAATACTACTTCCTCCGTTTCACAATATAAGACTTTCTAGCATTGTCCACCTTCATATAGATGCTAATGAATCTATATATATATATATATATATATATATATATGTAGGTGGACAATGCTAGAAAGTTTTATATTATAAAACGGAGGGAGTATATTTTTAAAGCAGGTGTACTAAATCTTTTTAATACAATATTCTTTTTGTCTCGTTTTAGCCATCCAATCAATAGTTCCTCCTTGTCCTCTATCCAGTATGAAAGGATAGTACATACTCCCTCCGTCCCGTAATTTTGACAATTTAACCCTTTGTAAAAATTTATTCTAAGAATAGTCTGTGCTAAAAATTTATTTCAAAAGTGAGCCGTGACCTCAGCGCCATTGGAATTAGTGCTGAGGTCTAACATCTCAGCGCCATTAATTTTGGCGCTAATCTCTCATCTGAGGTGGCACAAACTAGCCACATCATCATCATATGTCAGCGCCATATTAATTGGCGCTCACCACTGTACTAGTTAAAAAAGCGAACCTCCCATTCATAACTATGTGGTTACGGTAGCTCAGTGGTGGAAGTGATTTAATCTAGCTTGTTTCATCTTTTTACATTTTTCTGAAGTTCAAAATAATTTTTATAAATTAGGCTATATTATAATTTTATTGATCTATAATAAATGGAAATATCTAAAAAGTTTTATAATATGTATCATTTTTCTTGTTTCATCTTTTTACATTTTTCTGAAGTTCAAAATAATTTTTAAATGTTGCGAATATATTATAATTTTATTAATCTATAATAAATAGAAATATCTAAAAAGTTTTATAATATGTATCCTTTTCATATTGTCTAGTCCAGAATAAAATGATTTTTATAAGCCAAACTTATGATGTTGGTAGCAAATTAGGCTATAGCAAATAGTAGGAGGAAGTAAAAAAAATGTGCATGTTGTTGACTTCGAACCCAGAACCTACTGCAAGAATCTTTAGCACATAACCACTACACCAACGATACCTACATGATAGAAAACACCATTTTCTGAATTTTAGCTACTGTCAAAGTTAGCGCCAAAGAGTATGGCGCCAACCACTTATGATGTGGCTAATACATGCCACCTCGGATGGAGGCTAGTGCCAAAATGAGTGGCGCTGAGATGGTGGATCTCAGCGCCAATCTCTATGGCGCTGAGGTCACGGCTTATTTTTGAAATAAGTTTTTAGTACAAACTATTCTTAGAATAAGCTTTTGCAAAGGGTCAAATTGTCAAAATTTCGGCCATCCATCCCAGTTTAATCATTCCCTAAGTAAAATACACCAAGACTAAGGAAACAAAAATATTCATCATTCTCAAATTAATCCTTATCTGTTAATGCACTACATCGCTTCGTGTCTCATGGATTGTTCATGTTTTAAATATTGCATGATATTGCACCGATAGAAATTAATCTTAGTTGGTTGCATGCAACATATTCAATGATGCTGTCGGTGATATGGGCCTGGGGTATCAGGTTTAGAGGGAGGAGGCTGCCCCTCGATGCCACGTGGCCCTCCCCCGAGGGGAGTCAGGCCCGAGGTGGGGTGGCGGCCACTCCTTCCCCAAAGACTAGTCGGAGGAGGTTGCCCCCCGACGCCACGTGGCCCTCCCCCGAGGGGAGTCAGGCCCGAGGTAGGGCGGCGGCCACTCCTTCCCAAAGAATAGTCGGAGGAGGCTGCCCCCCGATGCCACGTGGCCCTCCCCCGAGGGGAGTCAGGCCCGAGGTGGGATGGCGGCCACTCCTTCCCCAAAGACTAGTCGGAGGAGGCTGCCCCCCGATGCCACGTGGCCCTCCCACGAGGGGAGTCAGGCCCGAGGTGGGGCGGTGGCCACTCCTTCCCAGAGACTGGATGGAGGAGTCTGCCCTCCAATGCCACGTGGCCCTCCCCCGAGGGGGGTCGGGCCCGAGGTAGGGCGGCGGCCACTCCTTGGCCGAGACTAGAGGGAGAAGGCCACCCCAGGCGCCACGTGGCTCCCTCCCGAGGGGGGATCAGGCCCAAGGTCGGGCGGCAGCCGCCCCCTCCCGTGACTAGGGGTCAGGCTCTCCCAACCCCCTCTCTAGGTCACCACGTACGGTGGGTTAGGTGTCCGCCTCCAGGTGCCCACCTACCCATATTTATGGCGACCCGAGCGGTCGCGCCACGCCGCATTTAATGCGGTGTGCAGTGCACTCAACCGGTCTGTGACCGGTCGAATGACTGATGGGACCCAGGATGTCAGGCGCACCATCGCGTGTGTCAGGCGACGTGCAGCCCGACATATCCCATCAAATAATAATGGTGAGAGGTTCTCATCCTCTTATCCCAGCCGGAGTCGGTCCTCCCGCTCTGGTCAAAGCAAGGCTCCTCTTTCCCGGTGTAATAGAAGCCCAGAAGTCTTCACCCATTAAATGGTGACTGACAGGGGCACCCCCGTGTTAGGCGGTAAGATTTGACAGGCCCCATCATCAAGACGACGTGCACTTGGCTTCCCAAGTCAAGTGACAAGACATGCATTTAATGTAAAGATTATAATACTTCTCCACCGGAGCTAGGTTAGGTTGTTGGGACCATGTGGTAACCCCTTGAGGTATAAAAGGAGGTCTAGGCCTAGTGGTGGAGGGGGGGACTTCCGAGCGAACGGGCGCTTGGGTCTCGCAACCCCAAGCACTTGTGTTCTACACTCAATCAACCAAGCACAGGAGTAGGGTATTACGCTTCCTAGCGGCCCGAACCTATATAAACCCCTTTTGTCCCATCGTCTTTGGGGGATTGAACTCCCTCAAGATCACACAGCATCGCTCACCAAAACCTCGGATCTCACTCACTCCCCCGGCCGAACTCACGAAAGGGGGTCTCACGACTTCCTGCTAGAGAGGATCACGCCTCGACAGATGCATATTTATTCTTTGCACAAATAAACGAATAGACACTTGTTAGATTATCAACATTTTAGAAAGACCTTAAAAACCGTAGGGAATGATCAAAATGAGATGGAGGGGGTAGTTTATTAACCTCTTGC